CAGGTGCCATGAGGAACATCCACAAAGCTGCCCGCACTGAACAAAGTGCTGGGCCAAGTCAGAAATGGCCAGAAAACATTGCAATCTCAGTATCCACCCAAAAAAAGTATCACCAATTTTTAAGAGATTATTTTTTAAAAAGTTTACACAGGACCTGCTTCATTAGGATTTCAGTAAAAGAAGGGTAATGCTATCAGAAAAACAAAACTTTCTCTCTTTAATAGCAGAAAATTACCCTAAGAGCAGGATGGGATGCAGCAGAGATGAAAGATCAATGAAAAAAAAGTCTGTGAAATTAAGTAATTCAAATTTAAAGCTGTTGGAACTTTAAATTATTCTGAGCATTAAGAGGAACGTGGTTATGTGGTCTGAGTCAGGGGACAGGCAGTTGCAACTTCTGCCTTCTTCTTTACTGCAAATAATTAAGACCAAATGGTGCCAGAGATAATATCCCTTCAGATCACTGTTCCACAAAGTGGTAATCCTTCTTGTAATATAATCAATCAAATTACTGTGGCTACTCACTAATCTTATTCAGAAAATGTAATCCTGCTGGAATTTCTCTGACTGCCTATATAAATGAAGCCTTAACTTCTCCACTCTGGAATGCTAACCACATTTGTTTGCAGTCAGTGTTTCCAGGTGACTATCCTCAAGCTTTACACTCAAATTCCATACTTAATATTATTTTCTGAATCTCATTATTTAAAATTGACAAGTCATAGTAATATATTGAACTATTTCACTAACTTCAGAGCAAGAGGCTCAATGCTCACTAGTATGTAACACTTCTTACTATACAAATGAATTATTTAGCCCCTGGACTTTATCCCTTGATATGGAATTTTATCATAACTCCAAGGGAAAGGTTCTACTTTATAAACTTTTAGGAGATATTTACTAAAGAAACAATTTAAGTTTCCAAAATTTTTTAATCATTGTACTAAAATAACAGCAGAGTTCAGTTTAAGCTTAGCTTAAGTCTTTTACTTTAGCTGGAAATTAGTAAAATGAAGATAATTCCAAATAACAGATGACTAAATTTACGAGTTTTTGTCAATATATATAACTAACCAGAACAAGCGAACTCACCTGTTTCCTTTTGATTAGTCAATCTTAGTAACTGACACTTACCAGAATCACCTGGGGTGATTTGCCAACATATACACAGCCATACATACCTATCCCAGATCTATGGAATCAGATTTTCCAGGGTGAGGCCCAGAACTAATACCTGAAAACGTTCTAGAGATATCTTTATACACACACACCCCTGACTGCAATCTCTATTCTACCAGGGGGTGCCAAGAAAACGTATATTTTTAAGAGATGTTATTTATGCATTACTTTTAGTTCTCCATAATCAGAAGTGTCTGGCGCTGATGGTAACCACTTTGAGGATCACTTGTAATTGCAGAAGTCAAATGTGACTTGTATTCATCTTTTGTTATCAGTATAAATTGATTATTACAATTTTAATAGTTTTTTCCTTTCTTAAAATGTGAATACTTTTGGCAACTTCTGTAAATAAAAGTCATTACATTTGAAAAGAATTACAGGCATGCCTCATTGTGTAGTGCTTCACTCTACTGTGCTTTGCAGATATGTGTCTTTACAAATTGAAGGCCTGTGGCAACACTGCATTGAGCAAGTCTATCTGTTCATTCATGATTCTGTGTCACATTTTAGTAATTTTCACAATATTTCAAACTTTTTCATTATTATTATATATGTTTCAGTGATCTGTAATCTTTGATGTTACCACTATAATTGTTTTGGGGTAACATAACTGCACCCATAAAAGACAGCAAATTTAATCAACAGATGTTGTTTATCTTCTGATTGTTCCACCGGCTGGCTATTCCCATCTCTCACCCTCTCCTTGGGCCTCTCTATTCCCTGAGACACAACAATATTGAAATTAGGTCAATTATAATTGTCAAAACTTGGAAGAAACCCAGACATGCTTCAGTAAACAAATGGACAAACTGTGGTACATCAGATAATGGAATATTATTCAACACTATGAGTTATCAAGTCATGAAAACATATGGGGGAAACAAGTGCATAAAACCAAGTTAAAAAAAGAGGCTACATGCTATATGATTCCAACTATATGACATTCTGGAAAAGGCAAAGTTATGGAGACAGTAAAACGATCAGTGGTTTCCAGGTTTGGCGGGGAGAGAGGAATGAACAGATACACTACAGAGGAGTTTTAGGGCTGTAAAACTATTCTGTATGATATTATAATGGTGAATGCATGTCACTATACATTTATTTAAAACCACAGAACAGAATACCAAGAGTGAACCCTCATGTAATCTATGGACTTTGGATGATAATGATGTGTCAGTGTAGGTTCATCAATTGTAACAAATATGCCACCTTTGTGGGTACATGCATGTATAGGAGCAGAGGCAATATGGGAAATCTCTGTACATTCTGTCAATTTTGCTCTAAAATATAATATCTATTTTAAAAACTGAACAGTAAAAAAAAAGAAATTAGGCCAATTAATAAACCCTATAATGGCCTCTAAAAGTTCATGTGAAAGGAAGAGTTGCATGTCTCTCACTTTAAATCCAAAGCTAGAAATGATTAAGCTTAGTGAGAAAGGCATGTCAAAAGCTGAGACAGGCTGAAAGCTAGCTCCCTTGTCGTAACTGCAAGGGAAAAGTTCCTGATGGAATTAAAAGTGCTGGCCAGGCCCGGTGGCTCAGCCTGTAATCCCAGCATGTTGGGAGACCGAGGCAAGCGAATTGCCTGAACCCCCAGGTTCGAGACCAGCCTGGGCAACTTGGTGAGACCTCGTCTCTACAATAAATCAAAAATTAGCCAGATGTGGTAGCATGCGCCTGTAGTTCTGGCTACTTGGAAGGCTGAGGCAGAAGAATCACCAGAGCCCAGCAGGTCAATACTGGGGAGGCCATGAGTGTGCCACTGCACTCCAGCCTGGGCAACACAGGGAGACTCCAACTAAAAAAAAAAAAAAAAGAAATTAAAAATGCTACTTCAGTGAACACATGAATGACAAAAAGAAAAACAACCTTATTGACAAAAGGGAGAAAATTTTAGTGCTCTGGAGAGAAGATCAAATCAGCTACAACATTCCCTTAAGACAAAGCCTAATCCCAGAGAAAAGTCCAACTCTCTTCAATGTTATGAAAGCTGAGAGCAGCAAGGAAGCTGCAGAGACTAGCAGAGTTTGTTTCACAGGGTTTAAGAAGTCATCTCTAGAACATAAAGGTGCAAAGTGAAGCAGCAAATGCTGATGCAGAAGCTGCAGCAAGTTATCCAGATCTAGCCAAGATTGTTGATGAAGGTGGCTACACAATAAACAACAAATTTTCAATGTAGACAAAACAGCTCACCATTGGAAGAAGACACCATCTAGGACAATCATAGAGAGAGGTCTGGCTTCAAAGGACAGGCTGGCTCCTCTTGTTAGTCTTGTTAGGGGCTAATGCAATTGATGACTTTAAGTTGAAGTCAATGCTCATTTACCATTTTGAAAATCCTAGAGCCTTTAAGAATTATGCTAAATTGACTCTGCCTGTGCTTTAGAAATAGAACAACAAAACACATGGCAGCACAGCTGTTTACAGCATGGTTTACTGAACATTTAAAGCCCACTGCTGAGACCTAATGCCCAGAAAAAAAAGATTCCTTTCAAATTATTACTGTTCACTGCTAATGTGCCTGGTCATTCAAAAGCTCTGATGGAGATGTGTATAAGAAAAATGTTGTCTTCATGCCCACTAACACAAATCCATTCTGTAGTTCATGAATCAAGGCAGAATTTCAACATCAAGTCTTATTATTTAAAAAATATATTTCATAAGGCTATAGTGTCATAGTCAGTGATCTCTCTGTTGGATCTGGGCAAAATAAATTGACAACTTTCTAAAAAGTATTCACCATTCTGGATGCCATTAAGAACATTCATGATTTATGAGAGGAGGTCAAAATGATGTCAACGTTAGCAGGAGTTTGGAAGAAGTTGATTCTAACCCTCATGGATGACTTTGAGCAGTTCAAGGAACTGCAGTTGTGGTAGAAATATGGATGAGAAGTTGCTTTTTTTTTTTTTTTGAGTTAGAGTCTCACTCTGCCACCCAGGTTGGAGTGCAATGGCATACTCATGGCCACTACAGCCTCGACCTGCTGGGTTCAGGTGATCCTTCTGCCTCAGACTTCCAAGTAGCTGGAACTACAAGCATGCACCACCACACCCAGCTAATTTTTTTATTTATTGTAGAGATGAGGTCTCGCCAAGTTGCCCAGGCTGGTCTCAAACCCATGGGCTCAGTCAATCCTGTCACCACCGCCTCCCAAAGTGCCGAGATTACAGACATTAGCCACCACGCCCAGCTGAGAAGTTGTTTTTTATGGACAAGCAAAGAAATGGTTTCTTGAGATGGAAACTACTCCTGGTGAAGATGCTGTCAACATTACTGAAATGACAACAAAGGATTTAGAATATTACATAAACTTAGTTGACAAAGCAGTAGCAAGATTTGAGAGGATAAACTCCAATTCTGAAAGAAGTTCTACTGTGGGTAAAGTGCTATCAAACAGCACTGCATGCTACAGAGAAATCTTTCATGAAAGTAAGAGTCAATTGATAAGGTAAACTTTATTGTAATCTTATTTTAAGAAATTGCCACAGTCACTCCCCAACTATCAATCACCACCCTGATCAGTCAACAGCCATCAACATCGAGGCAAGGCCCTCCACCCACAAAAGATTACTACATGTTAAAGACTCAGATGGCCATTTTTAAGCAATAAAGTATTTCAATTAAAGTACACACATTGTTTTTTAGACATAATGCTATTGCAAACTTAATAGACTACAGTACAATAAAAACATAACTTTTATATGCATTGGGAAACAAACAAAAAATCCTTGTGACTTGCTTTTTATTGCAATATTCACTTAACTGCAGTAGTCTGGAAGTGGACCTGCAGTATCTCCAAGGTATGCATGTACTTACTTGTTACAATTCCAGCCAAAGCAAAAACAAACTGATTTTCATCTGAATCAAGCTCTTTGACATCACCATCCAGTGACTTCACAAAACTCTCCATTGTTTGGCCAGTAATGTTGAAAAATTTCAGAGCTTTATCCTGAAAGTTTAGAAATGAAAGTGTCACATATTTTCACAGACACCAGAGTGAAAACATTTTAAAAGGGCTGGATACAAAAGAATCTGGTTTTAATTACAGAAGCAATATTTTAAAATCTATTCCTTCATTAAAAGTTTCCACTGAAAATAGCAGAGAAAGCAGGCTGGGGTATAGAGGAGCAAGAAAAACTACCCTGAAGATTAACGGAAAGAATTAAAAAAATACATATATGGGAAAAAGGACAAGTGCACACAATTATGGAAGTACTGGGATGAATTCACTCAAAAATATAATAGAAATATACTCGAAAGACATGTTGCCTATATGTTCTGGAAGTTAAACCAGAGGTTTTCAAACCTTTAGCATAACTTTAAAAAAAAATCTTGATGGAAACCTCAACATGTAAAAGAGATAAGGACTGGCTCCTCGGGCAGCTTAAATCTTCATTACTCGGCAGAAAACATTTCCAAGTTTAAAGAACCTTTGATTTACTTCCTTTGGGGTACTAGAATTCTGAGGAATAATTTAAAAATCAATGCACATTTTAACACAGTAAAAAGAACTGGAGAAAACAATGCATTTACAAATGGCACAAGGGAACTTCATGGGTGACAGAAATAATCTAAAACTGGATTGTGGTGATAGTTACACAACTCTAGAAATGTGATAAAAATCAATGAATTGTGCACTATCAATTTTATGATATGTAAATTAACCTCAATAAAACTCAACAAACTTCTATTTAAAACACATTTAGTTCTTCCACCTAAAAGCAAATACAACTGTCATTTCTATAAGTGATAAGTTATTTATCACTAGTTTCCTGGCACACATGCCCCTCACCACTTTTGTTTCCAGTTACGACCACACCATCCTCCCAGTCAAACCTGATCTTCTTTGGCTCCTTTTGTCTCCTCCAGCTGCCAGCACCTCCTGCCACCATATTTGGCTCAACTTCCCTGGCTCTCATACATATTTATTCCTTCCCATCTCCACTACAGAGAGCAGAGCTCAATCCAGCCTGTACCACTAGAACAGCTGCCTTATCAGGCTTCCTGTCTGGACTCTATGCCCCACAACTCCCACTCTCCTAATCCTCTCACTCGGGTTAATCTTCCTAAAGTTTTGCTTTTATCCCATCAGCCTTTTACTCAAAAACTCTTAAGGAATGTAGTCTTATCACCTGTAGGATAAAAATCATCAACCTGATATTTAAGATCCAAAACCACATTCCAACCTACCTTTTAAGTCTTATCTCCCAACACTTTATTACATTAACTCTCCACTCTGTCAACTGATCTACTCATTGCTCTAAAATAAACCTTAGACTTCTCACTCTAGGACTCTAATCATATTGTTTATCTTCTTGAGCTACCCTCACATTTTCTGCCACTTCTACCTATTCATCAAGGCCCATTTTAAATTTATCTTAAGTTCCCTGACACACATACATACACAGTTGATCCTTGAACATGAGTTTGAAATGCACAGGTCCACTTATACACAAATTTTTTTCAGTATAAGTTATCCCAAGAGTGCCTGCCTCCCCTCCACCTCTCCCGCCTCTGCCACTTCTGAGACAAGACCCACCCCTCCTCTTCCCCCACCTACTCCATATGAAGACAAAGACCTTGATGATGAGCCTCTTCCATTTAATAAATAATAAATATTTTTTCTCTTCATTATGATTTTCTTTCTTTGTTTCCAGCAGGAAGATTCCTTTATAATGGAAAACTTAATATACAGTTCTAGAGTAGGGCTTCAGTCACTGGGCCACAGGAGATAGCAAGGAGCAGGCCTGAGAAAGACCATACACTCCAGAGCTCACATAACACTGATGCTCATGTCAGGATGACTGACTCTGTACATTGAAACGCAACCTTCCCAATAGTTTAGTCAAGAACTGTCCTTTTAATTTTTCATTTTTGGCCACTGAAAATAAAATGTACTATGATGACAGGATTTCGGCCTAACAGTCTCTTTCCAGCCAAAACAGATATGGATGTCCAAGCTCATGATGAGAAACACAAGTTCATTTGAATTCTCTCACAAGGACCAAGAGACAGAATTTTTTCTTTATAGATCTGTCAAAATATTTATATGTACTTTTAGAAAAACAACTAACAGTCCAATCTGTGATGATTCCCTGGAAGGTTTCTCGTGATAATTCCTCCAATAGCTAGAGGGGTTATATGTCTGGAAACAAAGAATTAAGACACTTTAGTGGGCAGAGGCTGGAAGCATTCCCCCTAACTGCAACAAGACAAGGATGCCCACTCTCACCCTTCCTATTCAACACAGTATTGGAAATCCTAGCCAGAGCAATCAGGTAGGAGAAAGAAATCAGGAGTATCCAAAGAAGACATTCTCTCTCTTTGGAGATGATATGATTTTATACCTAGAAAATCCTAGAGAGTCTTTCAAAAACCTCCCTGATAAGCAACGTCAGTAAAGTCTCAGGATACAAAATCAATGCACAAAAAACAGTTGCTTTTCTGTACACCAACAACAAGCAGGCTGAGAACCAGATGACACAATACCATTCACAACAGCCCCACCCTCACACAAATCTCAGCATCCACCTGACCAAAGAGTTGAAAGACCTTTACAATGAGAACTACAAAACACTGCTCAAAGAAATAAAGGATGACACAAATGAATGTTAAAACATCCCATACTCGTGAATTGGAAGAATCAATATCGTAAAAATGGCCATTCAATCTACAGATTCAATGTAATGCCTATCAAATTCCTAACATCATTTTTCACAGACCTAGAAAAGACAATATAAAAATTCATATGGAAGCAAAAAAGAGCCCAAATGGCTAAAGCAATCCTGAGCAAAACAAACAAACAAACAAACAAACAAAGTTGGAGGTATTACACTTCCAGACTTCAAACTTTACTATAAGGTTACAGGAATAGGCAAATAGACCAATGGAACAGGACAGAGAATCTGGAAATAAAACCATGAACCTTCAACTAACTCATCTTCAACAAAGCTGACAAAAACAAACACTGGAGAAAGGAAACAATGGAGAAAGGAAAACTGGCTAATCACATGCACAAGAATGAAACTGGACCCCTACCTATCACTATATACAAAAATTAACTCAAAATGGATCAAGGACTTAAATATGAAGCCTAAAACTATAAGAATCTTAGAAGAAAACTAAGAGAACATCCTTATGGACATCAGAGTAGGCAATAAATTCATAGCCAAGTCTTCAAAAGCAAATGCAACAAAAGCTAAGACTAACAAGTAGGACCATATCAAACTAAAAGGTTTTTGCACAGCAAAAGAAACCACTGAGAGAATAAAGAGACATCCCATGGAATGGGAAAAAAATATTTGCAAGCTATTCATCTAATAAAAGCCTAATATCCAGGATCTACAAGGAACTCAAACAAATTGACAGGAAAAAACAACCCCATTAAAAAGTGGGCAAAGGACATGAACAGACACTTCTCAAAGTAAGACATTCAAGCAGACAACAAACATGAAAAATGCTTAGTCTCACTAATCATCAGAGAAATGCAAATCAAAACTACAGTGAGATACCACCTAACACCAGAAAGGATGGCTATCATTATAAAGAAAAAAAAAAGGTGTTGGCGAGGCTGCAGAGAAAAGGAAACACTTCTACTGTTGGTAGGAATGTAAGCTAGTTCAACTTTATGTAAAGCAGTGTGGTGGCCATTTTCTCAAAGAATTAAAAGTTGAGTTACCATACCATCCAGCAATCCCACTTCTGAGAATATACCCATAAGAACATAAATCACTCTACCAAAAAGACACCTGCACACATATTGTAGCACTATTCACAAAAGCAAAAACATGGAACGAACCCAGATGACCATTGACAGTGAACTGAATAAAGAAAAACTGGCACATATACAATATTACACAACTATGAAGAAGAACAAAATCATGTCCTTTGCAGCAACATGGATGCAGATGGAGACCATCATTCTAAGTGAGTGAACTATTACAGAAAACAAAAAACTGAATTTCTTTTTTTTTCTTTTTGAGTTGGAGTCTCACTCTGTCACCCAGACTGGAGTGCAGTGTCTGCTAAAAACTGAATTTCAGATGGTCTCACTTATAAGTGTTCCCTGATCACTGGTCACACAAGCACAAAGGTGGGAATAACAGATGCTGGACAATGCTAAAGAAGGGAGGAAGAGTAGAGAAATAAGGAGCACACCACCATACACTGGCCAGGTCCACTATCAGGAGGAGAGAGGGCTCGCTAGAAGCTCAAACCTTGCCTGTAAGCAATTTATTTATGTAGTAAATCCTCACATGTACCCCACAACTAAAATTAAATTAAAATAAAATAAAGAGAATAATAAATGTGGTACATATACATGATGGAATACTACACAGTCATAAAAAAGGACAAAATCATGAATTTCGCAGCAACCTGAATGGAACTAGAGTCTATAATACTGAGTGACCTCTCACAGAAACAAAGATCTGAGTATCACATGTTCTCACTCATATAGTAGACCCTAAACATCTATCGTAATGCTGTAAGAAAAGGATTGACAGTGGTGGGAAACTACGGGGGGGGAGGGGAAGGGAGGTGGGATTAACGGTAGTAAGTATCTGTCTGGAGATGGGGAGACACCCCTTATCAACAAGGGTGCCTGAACAAAACATATTTGTATACCTAACCCTTAACTGTACCCCACAATACCAAAATAAAAAATATTGATTAATAAAAAAAGAATAATAAGAGATAAAATAACAAAATAAAATAAGCAATAAAAATCCTAGTGCAACACTCAGAAACAGATGGTAGGCTTAGTGGGGCAGAAGGCAGGTGGGGTGCTAACCTCAGGAAACCTTATGACTTTTCTCAATAACATTTTCTTCTCTTTAGCTTACTTTTTTTGGTGTTACTGCACTGTTTTTGTTATCAGTAAGGCTTCCAGTCAACACTAGGCTGTTAGTTAAGTTCTGGGAGAGTCAAAGTCAAACGTGAATGCTTGACTGTGCAGGGGGATCAGCACCACTAACCCCCACACAGTTTTTCAAGGATCAACTATATATATATATCTATATGTGTGTGATATGTATGTACACATATACATCTATACATATGTTAAACAACATATCAATAAATATTACATTAACCATGAGCTAATATATACAGAAGTACTTCAATCTTTATTAAACTCATATACATGTAAGGTAACAATATTGAAGTGATAATATATCCACATATGCTACGCATATACCTTTCCTGGAGAAAAGGGATACTAATTCTTTCACTTTACATGCCCCCAGAGCACAAGGTTACAAAAGCCCATACACAGCAGGTATCTAATAACTATCTGATGAATGAACAAAAGCAAATGAACAGAAAGACATGGATTTAGTCTCTAAATGACTTATTGGACACACTGCATCCTCTAAATTACACAAGCATTAATCAACAATATCCAGACAGCCCAGTGGTCATGCTTACTCCTCCCAAAATAGCTTTGACGACCTCCTCACTGCTGGAGACACCCCACAAGAGGGTACAGGCTGCTGCTCCCATCTCTGTACAATACTCTGCCTGTTGTAGGAGTTGCTGCTTCGCTTCATTCAGCTGCTGTCGAAGAGCCAGTTTCTCCTAAAAGCAAGGCAAAATAAAATCAGAAATGTGAACAACAGCATTCAACCTTGAAATATCTCTATTATATTTCCTCTGTCACAAAGATATGTATCAAAGAAAAGAAATGCATGCAGAACTACAGAAAACAGGTGCAAATGAAAGCTAGTTTTAAGATAGCCATAATCCATATCTAAAAAATAAACTTCAGAGGCAAAAATATCACTCTTAGAAAACAGCATATTTCTACATTAGGGTTTATAAATAATCCAAAGATCTGAACTCATTTGCTTCAAGTAAAGTGAAAGCATGAGACATTTCAATTCCCAAGTGGATAAATTCAGAACCAGCACGGACTGGGATGCCTGAACAAAGTAACAGTCTAACACAGCAGTCCACACATAAAGCAATGCTTCTTTATTTTGAGTCATGATCTCAGCCACCCAGGCTGGAGTGCAGTGGCATGATCACAGCTCACTGCAGCCTCGACCTCATGAGTTCGAGCAATCCTCCTGCTTCAGCCTCCTGAGTAGCCGGGACTATAAGCATGTACCACCACATCCAACTAATTTTTTTTTTTTTTGTAGAGATGAGGTCTCGTTATGTTACCTAGGCTGGTCTCAAACTCCTGGACTTGAGCAATCATTCTGCCCCAGCCTTCCAATGTGCTGGGATTACAGACTTGAGCCACTGTGCCTGGCCAGAGCAACATTTCTGATAAAGAAGCCTGCCGCCTCCAAATGGCTCACCTATTGTAAAAAATGCCATCTTCTGGAGGCAGACACCAAATAAAAGATACTGTAGACTCATTAGTATTTGAGTAAAAGAAGTACTAGAGAAAGACTTATTCTATGCAAACATATCAAATCCTCACAAGAATGTTGCCAAAAGTGGTAGCAAATATAAAATACACATCTGTGCAATGTAAAAAAACTAGACAATCTAGAGGAAATGGATAGGTTCTTGGAAACATGCAACTCTCCAACCTTGAATTAGGAAGAAACAGAAACTCTAAACAGACCAATAATGAACAGCACGAGTGAATCAGTAATTAAGTCTCCCGCCAGGCATGGTGGCTCACGCCTGTAATCCCAGGACTTTGGGAGGTGAAGGCGAGAGGATTGCCTGAGCCCAGAGGTTTGAAACCTGGGTATCATGGCGAGACCTTGTGTCTCTACAATAAATAAAAAAATTAGTCAGGCATGGTGGCGAACGCCTAGCTACCTGGAAGGCTGAGGCAGAAGGACCGCCTGAGTCTAGCAAGTCAAGGTGGCCATGAGTGTGCCACTGCACTCCAGCCTGGATGACAGAGTGAGAATCTGATTCAAAAAAAAAAAAAAGTCTCCCAACAAAAAAAGTCCAGGGCCTGGCAGGGTCACAGCTGAATTCTTCCGACTGGTCCCGATTTTATCGAAACTATTCCATAAGATTGAAAAAGAGGGAATTCTTCCTAACTCATTTTATGAAGACAGAATCACCCTAATACCAATGCCAGGAAAAAAACACAACAAAAAAAGAAAATGACAGACCAATTTTCCTGATGAACACAGACACAAAAATCCTCAACAAAATACTAGCAAATTGAATTCAACAGCACATTAAAAAAAAAATTTCACCACAATCAAGTGGGTTTTATCCAGGCATCTTTCATGCAAGCTTAGTCTGACATACAAAAGTCAATAAATATCACCCATCACATAAACAGAATTAAAAATAAAAATCATATGATCATTTCAATAGATGCAGAAAAGCATTAAATACAGTATACCTTTATGATAAAAACCCTCAGCAAAATAAGCCTAGAACAAACATTCCCCAAAATACCCACAGACAGCATCATCCTGAATGAGGAAAAGTTGGACACATTCCTCTTCAGAACTGGAATAAGATAAGGGTGCCCACTTTCACCCCTACTATTCAACATAGTACTGGAAGTTCTAGCCAGAGCAGTGAGGCAAAACAAAGAAATAAGAGTATTCAAATTGAGAAAGAAAAAAAATCAAACTATCTCTGTATGTCAACAATAGGACCCTCTATCAGAAAATAAAGACTCCTCCAAAAGATTCCTGGACTTCAAAATTTCCTGAATTCAGTAAAGTCGCAGGATACAAAATCAACACACAGAAATCAGTAGCACTGCTATATACCAAGAGCAACCAAGCTGAGAATCAAATTGAGAACAATTTCATTTACAATAGCTACCAAAAAGCTAAAATACCTAGGAATATACTTAACCAAGCAGGTGAAAGATCTCTACAAGAAGAACTACAAAACACTGATGAAAGAAATTGTAGAGGACATAAACAAATGGAAAAACATTCCATGCTCATAGATTAAAAGAATCAACAGTTAAAATGACCATATTACCCAAAGTAATCTACAGCTACAATGCAATCCCTATCAAACTACCAATGTCATTTTTCACAGAATTAGAAAAAAAAAATTCTAAAATTTATATGGAACCAAAAGAGAGCCAGAATAGCAAAAGCAATCCTAAGCAAAAAGAACAAAGCTGGAGACATCACATTACCTGACTTCAAATTATACTACAAGGTTATAGTAACAAAAACAGCATGGTACTGGTACAAGAGCAGACAGACACATGGACCAATAGAACAGAATAGAGAAGCCAGAAATAAAACCAAATACCTACAACCACCTTTTCAACAAAGCAGATAAAAACACACACTGGGGAAGAGACACCCTATTCAACAAATTGTTCTGGGAAAATTGGACAGCTACATGCAGAAAAACGAAGCTTACTCCATCTCTCTCTCTCACCATATACAAAAATTAACCCAAGATGGATTAAAGACTTAAATATCAGACCTGAAACCATAAAAATCCTAGAAGAAAATCTAGGAAAAGCTCTTCTGGACATTGGCCTAGGCAGGTAATTTATGGCTAAGATCCCAAAAGCAAATACAACAAAATCAAAAATAAGCAAGTGGGTCTTAATTAAACTAAAAAGCTTCTAGGCCAGGTTTGGTGGCTCAGCCTATAACCCCAGCACTTTGGGAGGCTGAGGGGAGTGGACTGCCTGAGCCCATGGGTTCAAGACTAGCCTGGGTAACTTGGCAAGACTTTGTCTCTATAATAAATAAAAAATTAGTCAGGCATGGTAGCACTCACCTGTAGTTCTGGGCTACTTGGAAGGCTGAGGTGGAAGGATCGCTAGAGCCCAGCAGGTTGATGCTGGGGCAGCCATGAGTAGTGTGCCATGCACTCCAGCCTTGGTTACAAAGTGAGACTCCATCTCAAAAAAAAAAAAAAAAAAGAACCCAAACAAACCAGCAACAAAAAAGCATGTAGCAAGTAACTCCATTAAAAAGTAGGCAAATGACATGAACAGATGTCTCTCAAAAGAAGATAAGATATACAAATGGCCAACAAACGTTTGAAAAAATGCTCAACATCACTAATCATCAGGGAAATGCAAAGTAAACCACAATGAGATACCACTTTACACCAGTCAGAATGGCTATTATTAAAAAAATCAAACAACAGATGTTGATGTGGATGTGGTGAAAGGGAATGCTTATACATGGTTGGTGGGAGTGTAAACTAGTACAATCTCTATGGAAATCGGTATGGAGATTTCTCAAAGAACTAAAAGTACATCTACAATTTGATCCAGCAATCCCACTACTTGGTATTTACCCAAATAAGCAGAGGTCATTATACAAAAAGACATTTCTGCACTCATGTTCATTGCAGCATAATTCACAATTGCAAAGATCGGGGATCAAGCTAAATGCCCATCACTTGCTCAGTGGATAACAAAAATCTGGTGTGTGTGTATATTAATACACATACACACACACACACACACACACACACACCATGGAATAGTATTCAGTCATGAAAAGGAATGAAAAAATGTCTTCTGCAGCAAATTGAATGGAATTGTAGACCATTATTGTACGTTCAGGAATGGAAAATCAAACACGACATGTTCTCACTTATAAGTAAAAGACAAACTAAGGAACAGCGAAGGCATCAAAAACAGCAAATGGACACTGAAGACTCAGGAGGAAGAAGGTAGAAGGGAGGTAGGGATAAAAAATCACCTATTGGGTACAATGCGCACAGGTAGGAGAGGGGGGTACACTTAAAGCCCAGACTTCTTCACCACTATACAATGCATCTATGTAACCAAAAATCATTTGTACACCTAAAGTCACTGAAATAAAAAACTTTAAAAATAAAATTAAATACACATCTGTGAAGCTAAACAAGGAAAGAAACCAGAACTAAGTCCAGGTAGGAAAGATGAGAGCGGGGCAAAAGGGAAAGTAAAGGCAGGGCCTTGTAAGTGTGCCCTGGTGCAAGCCAGCACCAGTGTAACAAGAAGACAGAGGCCAGGAACAGTCTCTTACTCTCTCATCAGCAGCATCTGGGAACACCTGTAGTCAGGCAAATCTCTGACAACACCTTCTTGACCGGTTATAGGCAAGAAATGGCCCTCCTGATGGTCCCTCTGACCATACAAGCACACTTCCAAGTATTTACCTTCAGGTGAGCCTAGGATGATGTGGGGCTTCAGGCCCTCTCCAACTACCAGCACCAAGTACTTAAAATTCCCTTAAAAGGTGATAGCATTTTCTGACTTAATAAAACAAAAACTGAAAAGTATAAAAGCCTAGTTAAATTTATTAATGCCAAACATAATTAGTTAAATAAACCACAAAGTTAAAAAATATTAAATGTTTTAGATTTTTCTTTTTGAGAGGTGAATACAGTACAGGACAATTAAAGTAGAAGGGGCTTTTCACCTTGTGGGGGGAAAAGGGAGCTTTGGGCCACAAATTGAACATTGTTGACTGTATAACCTGGCATAGGGTGGCCCATTCACATTTACTTGGAGAAAATGCATTTGGTATACAGAGCTTCATATACATTCATACATATATACACACACTTACTTTAGAGAAAAATGGTATTGAGCCTATGACACGTGCTAATACTGTTTCATGTGATTTGTAAATTCTGGGTTTTTAATATCTGATTTCATCATAACG